TGGGGCAGAAAATAAAAAAAAAAAAAAAGACAACAGCCAACCCAACAATAGCTGTCCAGTGAGCATGAATCAAAATCATACTTTTTTTGGTCATATTGGCAAGAAGAAATAATACATTCTTTGGTGTGCCACAGAATTTTAGTAATTAGTTTATGTGTGCCATGAGATGAAAAAGGTTGAAAATTGCTGACTTAGATTATTAAATCAGTGAGACCCTAAAGTGTTTCCTGGCACTCAGAAAAACTCAAAAGCAGTGCCAGTGCTCAAGTGAGAAATTGCAGAGAGTACGATGGGGTTTCTGGATTGCCACAGAAGTTGGTATTCATAGCTATCCTGTTTCTGACACACCTCTTTGAGCATGGAGCGAGGAATCGGGTTTGGCTCTGCCTTGCATCCTGGGAGCTGACAGTGGGTGGAAGTAAACTGACATGGTCTCAGGGAAGGCAATCTGGAAAGCAAAAGAAGTTCAATGGGGCAGAGGGCACAAATGAGATTCTAAATGTAGTGTCAGGAGCAATGAACAGGAGCAGTAGGGTGGAGCCTGTGGCTTAACCTAAGGACAAATCTAATTCTTATAACTTTCTTCTGCAGTGTATGCTATTATTACTCTGTATTTTAGTGATACCTTGTTGTATACTCCATAATGTGAACATAATTGACCAATGCTTATATCCATGTGAGAAAAAATTACCACTATTGTTGCTTGCATCGCATGCCTCCCTTTTATGTATAATACTAGAGGCCTGGTGCACTATATTCATGCACTGGGGGGTGGGGAGGTCCTTCAGCCCGTCCTGCAGGTAGACATCCCCCAAGCAGTCCTTAGTGCTGCCTTGGAGACGGGAGAGGCTCCCGCCACCACCACTGCACTCACCAGCTGGCTTCTGGCTGAGCTGAGCTCCCCCTGCGGGAATGCATGGACCACCAGGGGGCAGCTTCTGTGTTGAGAGTCTTCCCCCTGGTGGCCAGTGTGCATCATAGCGACCGGTTGTTTCTCTGTTCGGTCAATTTGCATATTAGGGTTTTATTATATAGGATCTTTCTTACTGAGATATATTTTATTAGTTTTTACTATAAAGTCTGTGGGCCATTTTTCTTTGAAAATGTTTTTTACTTTATCCTTGTTTTAATATACACTGAGTGGCTAAATTATTATGACCATCTGACGTTTGTAGGCAAATTAGCTATAATTTCACGCTGAAGTTGCTAGAGGGCCAGACCATTATAAATAGGGAAGCAGGTTGTTTACCACGACAGTTACCCAAGCATAGGGAGACAAGGATTCAACAGCTGAGCATTGGAAAAAAGTTCATGTGGTCTGATGAATCACGTTTCCAGTTGCATCATGCAGATGGCAGAGTGAGAATTTGGTGGAAACAGCATAAAAGCATGTACCCCACATGCATGAGTACAACCCTTCAAGCTGGTAGGGGAAGTGCTATGGTTTGGGGCATGTTTTCCTGGCATGATTTGGGCCCTTCAATTCATGTGGAACAACGTCTGAATAGCACAACATACCTAAGTGTCATTGCTGATCAAGTTCATCCTATCATGTTGATGGCATATCCCAATGGAGATGGCTTCTTCCAACAAGACAATGCGCCATGCCACGGTGCTCGTATTGTGCAGGAGTGGTTTCAAGAACATGAGGGAGACTTTACCTCGCTTAGGTGGCCCCCACAATCACCAGACCTCAAGCCAATTGAGCATTTGTGGGACTGAGTTAAAAGAGCCATCAGGCAGCTGGTTCCACAACCATCAAATCTCACAGAACTGGACAGTGCTAATCATCAGGCATGGTGTCAGATTCCTCGCATCACCTTTCAACATCTCGTGGGGTCAATGCCAAGAAGAATTGCCGCAGTATTGAAGGCAAAAGGTGGCCCAACCAAGTACTGATGGGGTGGTCATAATAATCTGGCTGCAAATGTATATACACACAAAAAAAGTCCATATACACAAATATATGGACTAATGGGCTATTTTGTTGGATTATGACTATATTGAGAAATGCACATTAAAGTCATATATATATATATATATATACACACACATATATATGTATATATATATATGTGTGTGTGTGTGTATAGATAGCTGGATAGATGATAGATATATGATAGATGATAGATGATAGATAGATAATTTGTGTTTTTGAATTTTACATAGATGGAATTATGCATGTAGTCTTTTGTTTGGGCTTCTTTTATCCACATTATGATTATAACATTGATTCATGTTTATAGTTTCTTTTTGTTTGCTTGTTTTGTTATTTATTTTAATTACTAGAGGCCCGGTGCACAAAAATTTGTGCACTCGAGGGGGGGGGTCCCTCAGCCCGGCCTGTGCCCTCTCACAGTCTGGGACCCCTCAGGAGATAACGACCTGCTGGCTTAGGCCTGCTCCTGGCAGGCCCAATCCCTAGGTGCAGCCCCTGGTCGGGCTCAGAGCAGGGCTGATTGGGGAGTTGGGGCGCCGCCCCCTGTCATGCACAGAGCAGGGCGGATTGGGAGGTTGTGATGCCACCCTCAGTCACGCTCAGGGTAGGGCCGATTGGGGGGTTGGGGCACCGCCCCCTGTCACACTCAAGGCAGGGT